CTCCAATTGCCTTGTACAGAAAGGAGGGAAGGGACTAGACTGGTTCACATGGACAGCTATGGGAATCCTTATTTATTCCTTCATCAAATATTTACTGTGTGCCCACTCCAAAACAGGTGATGTGGTCCAGTGATAAACAAGTAAGAAAAACTGTAGCCCCTCAGAGCCCAGAAAGACCCCCATGGTGCTACACATGCATGCTAGGGAGATTTATCTCTGTGCGGGTTTCAGAAATCATGAAGCTGCCTAAAAATTTCTCACTGGTCTCTTCTTCGTTTCTTTGTGTATGTTTAGAGAAACTCTAATTCATAATCCTCTTTTCTGGAACAAGGTAAGAGAGAGATGATATACTTTAATTCTCACAGGTATTCTGTGCCTATTTGCAGAGATCCAGCTTCGGGAAATACATTTTGCAAAATGACAACTTCTCACAACAGCATGAGGGGTGGTTATGCTCTGCATAATGGTTGCTGAGAGAGCTAATTAATATGTCAAATGCTCATTCCTACTTCTTACCACTGGCCCAAGGACGTGGTTTTGGTTATGTACACAGATTTTGACATACACCTGCCCTCTCTTTGCCACTTTTAATACCAGTATAAACTAATTTCAAAACTTGTTTGGTTTCTATGACAATAGATACATTAAAGGTATATATTATTATATATATATATACACACACACACATACATATATACACACACATTCAGGCTCTTACATATCAGCCTCATCAAAGCAGAAATGATTCCAAGTAGCATATCTGTGATGAAAATTTGGAAGTTCAGCAATGCTGCTTAAATTATTTCCTTGTCTTTGCTAATGCAATGTCTTATATTAGTAAAATTTTGCTCTTATTGGCCTCTGACTCATCCATCAGCCCTAACTTCTGAGAGTGCATGGCAAATGCTACAAAAAATTCAACTTCCTCTTTGCACTCAGGCAGTGGCAAACATGTCTTTGTTAGAGGTAGGCGAAAGAGCTCCGTATTTCTCAAAGACTTTCCCTTTAAATTATTTCTGGGACAGCTTGGATTTGAGATCTGCCTCTGACTTGCTAAGGGCTATTTATGATTTATTTCAACCTTTAGCTGGCTCTAGCAAAAAAAAAAAAAAAAAAAAGGAACAAGTTTGAAAATAAAGAAGAAAAGCTTAATCCTCAGTGGTATCAACTAGCAGAGAGCACCCAGATTCTGAGGATGGGCGCATTGTTTAAATTTTGGTGCTTTTATTTTTTTCCTTTGAAAAATAAAATTAAAATCATTCATCATTTTAATTAGAGAACCAAGTGCCATATTTTTAAAAGAGAATGAATTTCAAGCTGTGAGTCTTTTAATGTAGACTGGTCCTCTGAGACTTTTCTGCAGCACTGTGGGGAAATTTTAAATCCAGTCAAATATTTTTCTTAGGAAAAATGGCCATAGGTCATGGTGAGATATGGGTGTCATTAAAATTTCAGAGGTCCGTAACACACCAGAGTCACCATAACATTGACACAGGGACTATAATATCTCCAAAGAAGCATTTGCTGTCCATCATGGCTCTGGGGGAGTGGTTACTATCTGTCTGTGTAACAATCTGCATGTTAAAAAGCCTCTAAATATGTATTTACAAGATATTCAGATCTGTTTTGTTCAATTGGGTCATTAATCCATACACTGCAGGTCCCTAAATATGTATTCACAAGATAGGCAGATCGGCTTTCACTGAGTCAGTCTTAAGTAGGTCTTTAAACAGGTACCTACATAGTTGTGTAATTCACATTTTAGCAAGTTCAGAAATGCAGTTTGTAGAGACCGAGTTAGCTTTTCATGAGCACATTTATTATGATACTTCCAGGAAATACCAGAAGCTATGTTTTACTCTGCTCTGTGGTGTTTTGCTTTTAAAAATCAGCAGAACAGTCACCATTGCACAAACTGCATTCAAGCACCGAGGCAAGAATGGCACAGAGTGTTGGCTGTGTCCTTGGCAGAGGATGCTGTCTTTCCAGACTGTCTTAGCTCATCCACGGTCACTCCAAGGTCCGAGCCTCATCCTCCCACTCGTACCCAGTCTCCCAGCTACAGCCTTTGCTACCCTCCTGTGAAGCTTGTCCCAGAACCAGAATGAACACGTAGGGAGTCAGAATGTGGCCCTGCTCTGCTCTGGCAACTTTCCATGCCAAGGCTCCTCAGCACAGGCCCCGTCTGAGTCTGGCTCACCTCCTTCCACCCTGGCCTGGCCTGCTGTTGGAGCACACTGTCCTCTTTGCTGTTTTTATGCTCACCACCAGCTCCCTTGTGCACACCCTTCCTTCCTCCTGGAAGGATCCTCCCTGTGACTTTCTCTCACTCATCCCAGAAATCCCATGAAAAAGGTTGCCTTTGACCACCTTGTGCTGGAACAACATCTTGTCCCTAAGACATGAATCTCCCTTCTTTATGACCCATTCTTGCTCACATTCATTGGTACTCAACACCAGAGTAGAGCTTTAGAAGCCTGGTGTGGTGGTGCATGCCTGTAATCCCAGCAGTCGGGAGGCTGAGGCAGGAGGATCGCTGTGAGTTCGAGACCAGCCTGGGCTCCATAGTGAGTTCCAGGTCAGTCTCAACTACACAGGGAGACCCTTTCTCAAAAAACAAACAAACAAACAAACAAAAAAAAAGTAGAGCTTTATTTGTTCATTGTTTCTTTCTTTCCCTAAGAAGTTAAACTCCCTGTGGCAAAAGTTTACCAAGCCCTTCTTAGATTAGGTGTCTGGTGCTTCTCAAATACTCCTTTAATCCTTGTGGTACCATGAATGAAAACTGATGGAAAAAGGATCATCCCTCTACCTCTCTAGCTTGGTGTGTGTTTATGCTTCGATAGAGGAAGAAAGAGAATCTCTTTTTGAACTGAAGCTCTCTCTGAAAACTAAACCTTAGTTTCTTGCAATATTCTCTAAGTGACATAAACCTGGCCATCCCGGGAGACGCTCCTCTAGCCCACCCCTAGAACCAGAAGCTCATGACCACAGGAGCGAGGTCAACTTGGGTGGTCACGAAAACTCGCCATCAGCCTGCTTCTTCAGGCTGTACAAATTGTCACAAACAAAGACACTATCCGTATCTCTCCACTTCCAGCGGCGTCCACAAAAGTCTCTGGCGACAGCAGCTGTGCTAACCAGATTTTGTAATCTAATCTGATGCAGCTGCAAGCAACGACAGGCACTGCCTCTGTCGGTGTCAGGAAACTGTAGCAAACTGAAGACTGTAGGAAGCTCATTATTCTTTCGTACATTCGCTAAGTCGTGCTTGGTGCTTCCTCCCACGTCTCCAGGACCTACCTTCAGCCCCTCTGCGGTTCTGATTGCACCCTTTCTCATGATGGAGGACTGGCATAGCGAATCCTGCCTCGTTCTTTGTTTCAATCATACAGAAAGGTGTCTTTGACAACAAAAATCACAGCTGACAGCAAATTAAGGACTATGATTCTGTGATGAGCTGAAATTACAGGCTGCAGAGAGCTTGTCTCAGTGATTGCCACTGCCACTGTCCTAGTTTTGGCGTTACTAAGGATTGATTGATATTGGTCAAAAAAGAGGACGTGGTTCAGCTACAGCAAGCCTATAGAATTATGAGGAAATCTGCCCATATTAAAATAGCTTGACGGTATGCTGAGGATTTAAAGGATTTTTCCTGTTAACCTGCTTAACCTTAACCAGCCTCCCTCTCATCCCCTTCCTTAGAACATGGACTTATTCTAATAAAGCTTTAGGGCACAAACTAAAGGAAAAGCTGGAGTTATCTAGACAATCCCAGCCCGGCAACCAAAACTGTTCATTAACTGAAGGAAAAACAGTTTGCTTCAGAATAATTTGGATAAGTGACTCCATTTTGCAATTTCTTTTGCATGAATGGGTAAAATTTAATGGATATTTCAGCGCATGCCAATAATTTGAGTGGATTTACAAAACTGAGCTTTTCAATCACTTAATGAGGAAAAGGAGTTAAAACATTAACCCAACTGATAATGATGAAACCATCTACTCAGATGCAAGGTGTCACTATGCCTCCTTTTAAATTCTGGCGACAAAGAAATAGTGATTTCTGTAACTACCAGCGATGACTTCTGGAGGGGGGAAGATTTTAAATAAGTGTCTGTTTGCTTTGGGCTAGCTTCACTGAGTTGGCCTTATTTGATTTCAGATCCTCCTAAGGGAAGCGGTTTCAGGATTTCTTGGTTGTAAATGAAAAAGAACACTTTGCTGCACTCCTATGACACCACAGGCAGCATTAAAAGGGCAGAGAATCACGGGATCTCGACTGTTTACCATCGCTTCCTTATCTCCTCAATCTATTCTATTTCCAAATGTCAGAGTCGCCTGAAACCTTTCAAAGCTTTGTAGACTGTCCAAGGTGAGGACATATTAGGATGAATCCTCTAACTTTTGTGAAAGCTTTTGAATAATTAGATGGGCTCTTTGAAATGTTGCACATTTCCCTATGAGCTCTCTAAAATTATACCCTGTGATAGCTAAACAGTTTTACTACAAAGGGCCGGAGGCCATCTCGACTTGTAAAATGTCTGTGAGACTACTCATTATAGCGCCTACCTGAGTCACAAATAAAGATCACATGGAATTTGAAGAATATAACCAATATAATAAAATGTACTTTATCAATTGAAATCATAATACTATACAATGAATGAAAACCAGTAAGCACAATCTTGGTTTTAAATATAACTTCCTTTCCAAACTCAGCCTAAAAATCAGCATATATTAAAAAAGCATGGCCACTGCAAAAATAATATATAAAAAGCAGCAAAAGTGTGAGCAAATTATTTTCAAACTTATAAAATATTTTTCATTCTATTTAAAATACTAGAGACATGTAGCTAAAGCAAATACTACATAAAGATCTTTACTCTGTGTGCAATAGACAAGCTATTTCTTATGCTAATACATTGATTTCCTTGTTATGCAAAACTCTTCGACCTGGCTTCTTGCAGGCACACACAGAGCTGTGGAACCGGTCTTACCTCATACTCAAAGTCCTCTGTTCTGTCCACATCAGCAGGCAGGCTGGAGAGATACTCGTTGTCCTCATAAAACTCACGCTCCATTGGATGAAGAGAGTGGCAGCTATGGGGAATGCATCAATAGGATAGGAATGGGTCAAATGGATCGTTCTCAAGATTTAAACTGATATTATAATTTCTCTTTAGTTTACGCTGATTTGGAACAAATGATCTAAGGACTCCAGACCTTAAACAGACAAGACTTCAGAAAGAGCAAATTGCTTTTCTTTCTTCCTCTCCACGAAATCCATCAGTTTGCTCTTCCCGGGTGAATACTAAGGGGAAGGGCTATGGTCAGAGTCACTTTTTGTTGTTGTTGCTTTGTTTTGTTTTGTTTTTTGTGACAGGGTCTCACTATGTAGTTGAGACTGACCTGAATCTTACTATGTAGCCCAGGGTGGTCTCGAACTCACAGTGATCCTCCTGCCTCAGCCTCCCAGAGGGCTGGGATTACAGGTGAGCACCACCACGCCCAGCTCAGAGTCACTTTCTAAGAGACTGATGCAGAGCCTTTGAAAGCCAAAGTTCATTGCTATCCCCCAGCCTCTTCCATCCCCTGCATATGTAGCATTTGACGCTGCAATCTCCCAAAGGGGCCTGTTTTGGAGCAAAGCTCACCCATTTCCAAAACCCACTGCCCCAGTTTTTGAAAAGTCAGTTTCAAAAGCCCATCATTTTCAGACTTTGAAAAGTACACACATTATTCCCTCTGTTTAGATCCCCTTTCCTATTCTTTCTCACAGCCCACATTTCCCTTCATAGTAATGAGCATTGATGGCAACAAATTACTGGAAAGTCCTAAAAGGTGCAAAGTTTCATAATCCCTTGAATAAATTCTCAGTGACAGAGAGAACAGATTAAGTAAAGCAAGTGAGGGAAACCTGGGTACAGATTTCGTACATGCTTTAACCTTTAGGAAATATTTAAAATCTTTGAATTATTATATGTCAATATTCAGATACAACATATATTACAAGAGGAAGGCTAAGCATAATTTAACATCAGTAAAGGGCATAATTCCATTTCTGTATCTAAAAGTCAGTGACAAACCCTAAGTGCAAAGCTGGTGGTAGGCATGTCCTCTAAACTCGGTCACTGTGGAAGTTATTAAAAACTCAAGTTCCCTTTCTACTAGCTGAAAGGGGGAGGGAGGGTGCAAGGGAGGCAGAGGGAGAGAGAGACAGAGACAGAAACAGAGGGAGATAGAGGTAGACAGACAGAGATTGACAGAGAGACAGACAGGCAGACAGACTACAATCTTTGGCTGTTTGTTTTAGGTAGGATTAAGCAGTGGGAGCCAAAATAGCAAAAACAGTAGAAGTGACATCATGCCTGCCTGTCTACTAGGTAAACCCTCCTTGCTGGACCTAGGCCGGCTCTACAAAGACCATTCAAGCTTGGAGAATGTCAGTGCTTGCTCTTTGGGGCATTTGGTGGGTTTCATTTGTCTTCAAGAAGCAAGAAGGGGGCTCTGCCATGAGGAACACCTCATCCACTCAGCACACATTCCCTGAGTGCCTACCACATGTCAAGCACTATGCCCAGCCTTGGAAATCCACTTCTTCTTCCTTTTTTTTTTTTGGTATCAGAGATCAAATTTGGGACCTTGCACTTGCAGGGTAGGAGGCAGAACCACTGAGCTAAATCCCCCGCCCCGGAAATCCAGTTCTTATTAACTGGCGAAAGAAGGTCAGTGGCAATTTTAGGATAGTACAGTTATTAAAGGCGAAATAGGAAGCTGGGAGAACAAAGGGTAGGGCTGGACCTACTGCAGCTACAGGACATTTTCTGGAGCTATGGGACTGAGGAAAGAGTAGCACAGCACACCAGCAAAGGGAGGTGGGACTGGGGTGGCACCTCATAGACTCAAAAGCCTCAAGTTGTCACTTTCCTTCAAGTTACCTAACGAGTATTTCCTCATCTGTGGCATGAGGTTGGTAATAACACAATAACACAATGCACTCCCTCTCCAGAAATACCTATCTGAGGAGTAAATGAGGCGATTAATGTAAAACACGTGGGATACTACCTAAAATATGATAAGTTACCTAATAAAGGTTCATTTAAGCAGGTATTTACTGGGCAGGTACTAAGTGTCTGGTACTAATGAAAACCTTGTGTTGGTTTACTTGCTGTTGCTTAACCCTGCCCACCATATAAATGCCAGGAGGCAGTGGCTTTATTGTTACTCATAACTTTTTGCCCAGCATCTAGCTCGACTGCCTGACATAAAGGGCTCCTTAATATGTAAGGGACAAATGATCCAAGTGATAGGTAAGCAAGCAGTGCCATCATCTTCTTGGAAGCTGAAGATTCAAGAGCTGATTTCCAAACCTAGCTGCACATCAAAATTGCCTAAGGAGACTTCTGAAAATTCTATTGCCTAAACTCCACTGTAAAATTTTTATTAATTGGCTCAAGGTGGGGTCCAGGCATTAACAGGACTTCTCAAAGTTCCCAGGTGATGCTCGCGCACTCCTGTGACCCACTGAAACAGACTTATGGAGACCACTGAAGGGCAGGGAAGTGTTTTAAAGAGTCAAGACTGGCTTGGGGAAGACAAGGAAAATGAGGTCAAAAGACATTATTGCATTTAGAAATCTAACTCAGTAGTGTTTCAATATTTACTTAAAATCTCACAGAACGAAGCAAACCAGGCAAAATATATTTCCCAAACCATACAAATAGGATGATTTGAAATAAAATGTATCTGCATTCGCATTAGGTAAAAGCAGCAAGAAATACCGCTTTAATTGTTCCTTATTTTATAGCACTCTACTTATGCTCTGACAGCCAGGACACTTTGTTTATATTTCAATACATTGGGTAATTGGTTTCTTTGGAGGATTGTCTAATTAACGTCCTCGCTTCTCTTTTACAGAACAGAAAAGCAAGGGAGAGAGAAAGGAGACTCACAGAGGAGAACACAGTGCCAACATGTCACATCTACCTGCGTCTTCAGAAGGGCTTGGCAGCTTTGGTGAGAAAAATCTACTTCCCTGAGGCTGCAAACACGAGGCTAAGCTAATCAGAGCCCGAGCTTTTCACTGCCTTTCAGCACGTCTGGTTCTGGAGGTGAAGCAACTGCGTGGGTCAGGGAACTGCCTTGCGAGGACTCCTGAGAACTAACTGGAGGAAGAAGTCTCCGTGGAGAAGTTCCTCAAACAGAGCTGGAGCCCAGCGTCATAACTGTTAGCTGCTGGGGAGACTGTCCTTTCCAACGCTTACTTTCAATGGAGAAGACAACCAATAAATAGGGTGTTGGTTAAATAGAAATACCTGTCTGACAGCAGAAATGGACAGATGTCTGGCACGGGAGGGGTGGGTGGCCGGAGCTTGGCCAGGGCCATGATGTGCTCAAAAGTGATGTCCGTCTGCGTGCTGGCGTTCATGAGCTGCACTTCCGGGACTGTCCCATACGGAGGTCTACTGAGAGGCGCTCGTCTTAACACTTGCACCACGATGGGCTCCTTGGCGTTTCGAAAAGCTTCCACTGCCTCTTCATGGGTGGCCTTTGAGAGATCCTTCCCATTCACCTGTGGAAACAGCAAGACGTCACTCACCGCTGAGGCAAGGACAGAGGGACTATGGCAATAGATTAAAAAAAAAGGAAAAGTTTCAGCAAACTCATATGACTTTGAAAAGGAATGTTTAATCAGACATCGATGTATTGAACTCTTCACCAACAAGAGCAAGTGAGATTAAAAAAATAATTTTGCATCTTTATGAACTATCTGTAGTCAATTAAAAAAAACTCAATTAGAATTACTGGTAAAAGGTTTCAAAATTTAAATGGCATATCAGTATCGGAAGATGTCCCCCAAAACTTTCAGATGGGCGGAAAAGTTAAGTATATCTCCCTCCTCCCTCAGGACTTGGAATTGAATCAATTACATTGAACTATATCCCCAGTACTGCTTTATTTTTTATTTTGAGATAGGGTCTCACTAAGTTGTACCTCAAAGTTGTGATTCTCTTACCTCAGCCCCCTAGAGTGCTGAGATTACAGGGTTGAGCCACCATGCCTGCCTCAAGCTTATCATTTTAAAAGTGAGCACCTAACAACTTGGTGATATTCTAAACATTTCCTTAAAGTTTTACTTGCCTGACAGCTACTTTTCAAAGATAGTGTCAAATTTTCTTCATCTTTATCATTTTTTATACAAGATCATGTCACTGTTCCTGTGCATTCTGTCTACCTGGTCACAACTCAAAGTGTGGTCTAGGACCAGCAGCAGTGTCATTAGGGATGATGAGATATGCAGGACCCCAGGCCCTGACACAGCCCTCCTGAGTGAGAACTGCCATTATAACACGTTCCCAGCTGACCTGTGCCACACAAACACAGCCCTGCTCTTAGCACCTCAGACACATACACTTTCAGACACTTTGGATCCTCAGGAGTCTCCCAGTCGGCTCAGGACGCTACAGAGAGAGTGGTGAAATTTGCCTCTGTCCTTAGTCATTTCAGGGACAAAGTGACTCGTATGTAGGAAAGGAAGAACATATCCTTTTATGGGACCCTCTCACACTTGTGTGCTAAGGGCCAGAGATGTTTCCCAGCCTATGCAGCAATGAAACCACCTGCACACTTTTGCTGACCTCTTCTCAGGGGCAGTAAAGCTGGTTCTCAAGCAGTTTTTAATTTTGTCCTTCCATTAAAATAGTCCCTGATAACTCAGCCTTTTAGTGAAAGTTGTGCTTTACTAAAGAACTCTAGAATCCTGAACCGGTTTCATGACTCCTACCCTAAATGAATGAATAATGTTGGTTTTTTGCAAATATGAGATCATCTCTGGTGGCACAATGCTAATCCCGATACTCTGGAAATTATACCCTTTCTAGACAGCTAACTAAACTACCCACTTCCTGTTGAAGCACAGGTAACTGCCATGCACTAGCAAACCTTTAAGACATCCCTGGGTGCCTAAAAAGAGGGAAAAGAAATCACTGACTTGCAGTTGAAGATCAGTTGCTCACATTCAAATGAGCATATTCTCTCCCCTTGAGTAGACAAAGAGTACGGGAGTGCTGCGCGCAAGTGTGGGGCATTTTGGGGTGAGTGATACAATGCCAGGTGGAAATTGTCATTCCATGTAGAGGCAGGTTTAATGAACCGGAGGAGCTAATTTACTCAACGGCCCCTGAAAGAGTTAATGTGCCTTCAAAAAATGAGCAATTAAGCTCCCACAACAGTAAAATATGTCCCAGTTCAGTTCCTGAATCACTAGTAAAAAACTTCAGCTGGAGATCTGAGTAGGCACGTACCAGTGTGCACACATTCACTAACTTATGCTTTTACTTTCTGAGTATCTTCTTCATGGACTAAATTCGAAAAACTGCCACAGAATTTTCTTTGACACAATGTTGGACCGTTTACTTGGGCATATGGGATATGTGAGCATGGGCTACCTATTGTTTTTCTTGAGCTCCTGCTGCATGTCAGGTCTCTGAGCTACTGCAGGGTTCCTTGGAGGTATAGTCACCAAGTGATAAAACAGCCGAGAATGGAAAAGCACAACCTGGAGACTAGTCCTTCCTGTCGAATGGTATCAGGCCCATTGGTTTCCAGTTGTCATCAGTATTTGTAAATTCCAGATCACTGGAGTCAGGTGGTAGCTAAGACTATTAGCACATTCTATGGAACAGGTAAGACTTGCTCTTTTGTCCCCAGCCTTTACTTAATAATGTCCCCTCACGTTAATGAAGATCTACTCTTGAAGTTTCCCATAACCCTTCTGTCTTCGAAAACTCAGTCATAATCTGTTACCAACAGTTTAACATCTATTGGAACTATGTTAATATGTAACCAGTTCCTAAAGAAACAACTTTTAACAGTGCCAGAATGAAATAAATGAAGGCTTGCTCTTTTTTTTGGTACTGGGGATAGAGCTCTGGTCCTTGCACTTGTGAGGCAGGCAGCCGAAGCCCTGAGTTAAATACCCAGCCCAAGCCTTGCTCTTTTTGAAGAACCCTTAAGAAATACCAGAAGACAAAGGGAAAACTTCATCACCAGGATTCCTTCCAGTCACACTTTATTTTTTTTTAATTGAGTTTATTGTTACAATTTAGGTCTACAATACAGTTACATTCATTAATGGGGCCCTGTACGTTTACATGACAGGTCTTGGCTCTCATTTTTTCCCCTTGTCCCTGCCCTCCCTTCACTCCCTCCTCCCCTCCCCATTTACAAACTCTGTATTTACATTTTTACATTTTCTCATATTTTTTCTTTTCCTTTATTTCCTTTCCCCTACCCTTCACACTTTCCCTACACCTTTAGCCCTTTTGTTCCTATTTCACACTCTTAATTATCCCATTAGGATCTTGTGTACTATAATAGTTTTTCACACCAGAGAAACTATTCGGTATTTACACATGTGCCAGTCACACTTTAGATGTTACTGGTTCATGAACTGTGTCAGTAAGTACTAGATAGACAATGCCACTAATCTATTGTCCCCCAAGTGGCTGGGTATCTCGTCTATATATTAACTTAGTCTTGGTGTTCAGGATGCTTATTTGTTTTAGTGACCATCAAAGCAAAACTAATTTTTAAAAAGTGAGTTTCCTACTAATAATTATCATTTATTTTGTGCTCCTATATGGTAAGATTAGTTTTGGACAAATTCAGACTATTCGATAATTCTACAGAAAAAAGATTACTGAAAATTATTTTAAGAGGTGAATCATTAGTTTTCATTACAATGTTTAGCACATGCAGACAGTATTAGCATTCATACAGTAAGATCAATAGCTGTTGATTCTATAGCATGGACATCCCTTCCTTTACAATGCTGGCATTTAGATGCAAATTTCAGTCTTTGCTCCATGGAGGGTCAATATAATCTTAAAAAAGGACAGTCACTGTAATCACAAGTATCTTACTTCCCTATTGGGGAGTGCTCTTTTCTTCCAGTTACCATACAGCTGACCTCTATTTTCATAAGCTATTTAATATCTCTCAAAGTAAAGAAGTCTGTGACCTTTAAAGGCTCCACAGCCTCACGTGATCCTCAGAAAATGTAAGCACCGTTAATACTAAACACTCTTTTTTTTTACCGCACTTGAAGTTCAGCAACATAGTGTTAGCCTACCAAAAGGTCACCATTTTATAAATTATGCTTTTCACAACAGAAGAATGAACAGATTAATTAGGATTTTTTTTCTGGCAGCTGCTTTGTTCAGTTATTTTCAGTAACGGCTAAGAAAAAGAATAACATTAGAAGTATACCTAAAGTGAACCCTACAGAAAAATTCTGTAGTAAAGTCAACAAATAAATTAGCAGCAAAAGTTCATTTTTTTCCAGGTAGTTAGTTTCTAAATCAACAGCAAGGAGTTGGTATTTCATGGTACCGTATCGGTATCATTTTATTTGTTTACCTCTATATTTTCTCCCTCCCTCTTACTCCTCTGTCTCAAATGTCAATTTAGTCTAAACTGTGTCAATACGTACTAGGTAGACAATGCCACTTACCTATTTTCCCCCCAAGTGGCTGGGTATCTTCTCCATGTATTAATCTAGTGTTGATGTTTGTTTTATGAAAGAAGACTGGCGATGGAAAAGCCTTCTGTTAAAGCTGTACCACTTAGGTAGGAAAGGGTGTCAGTGCAACCTTTCTTGGCTCAGTATAAAGTGGGAGTGTTTTACTACAGGAGTACAGGGAAGTTGATTTTAATGAGAAAAACGATGCATGAATATGGTTGGGAGAAAATCTGATGGAAGCAGGTGATGAGAAAATATCCATGTGCTGTGAGCTTTGAGTTTGACATTTACATGCAGAAGAGCTTCAGGAAGGATAGTAGTTTGATTTAAGGCTGTTATAGAGAAAGAGGCTTTTTCCCAAAGGTGTTATTAAAAAGAACGAGAGGGATGGGGTCTTCCTAAGAAATGTGGATATTACAATTTCATCGATAAAATATCTGGATTTTATTTATTTATTTATTTAGGTACTGGGGATCGAACTTGGGACCTTGTGGTTATAAGGCCGGCATCTGGAGTTTTGATAACTGCAGTCCAAATCGATTTGGTTCTCCTGTATCCAAACAATTACAGTACGGCTGAAAAGATTCCTGTGATTGATATGTATTAAGAAAGAAGGAGTCCTTGAGGACAAAGACTGTATTTTGAAAAGGTGAAAAAGCTACCTAATTTGAGAGGCATGGGAAGGCAGACACATTATCCAAACACAGGGCATCCAAACTGACAAAAGCACAAAAAAGAAAGAGAAATGCCAATGACAAAAATTCTAGGACAGGGACAGGTGTTTGTCCTCAAACTAAATTTGCTGCTGGAAACAAGTATTAAGGTGGTCTTAACCAATCACACTTGAAGAAGTTACAAGATTTGCATTCAGAGGAACTAAAAAGTATACATGCGAGGGGAGACTGAAAGAAAAATAACGGTTGGAGATTTTCTGAGGGCTTCTCCCAGTTCTGAACCTATCCAGTCAATTCTACACACATACCCTTAACAATTAGATATTAAAGTGATGGCTTTTGATAAAATATGTGCCTTGTTCCTAAAAAGTTATT